CCCCCCCCCCCCCCCAACTTTAACGTCTAGTTACGGCCCTGACTGATATCGGTGACTATGATTTGTGCGCAGTTTTAAGTCTCGCAAATTGTACAGTACATGACTGGTAAATTAGTTGTTTTGCGTGCTTGATGCTAATTTGCGAACGGTCGTATGATAGGTCAAGTCAGTATACTAGTCGCAATTGTGGACATGTTTAAATTCTTGTTTTTATTTTGGTCCTGACATAGTTCACTAACGAACAAATTGATTACCATGTATAAATAATGTATTATGAGTACGTGTTTGTGGTTTGAATAAGACGCGACTCGTTTTTTGCTCTGTTGTGTTATTTGTGTACTACAGTTTACGCAAACGGCACAAGAGATAGTTTTGTGTGAATAGTTACCTAGTACCAAAAGCAATTCCTTTTCAATAGGTTGATCCACTGTTCCAGAAATTATCAGCAACATTTGATGAGGGCTGTACCAGTAGCTTACTATTGAATCATCTCGCTCGTCGAGATGATTTCTGTGAGACTTTGTTTGACTCCAAAACTGTACCCACATCCACCATGGCTGATTTTGATTGCGGAAATTCTCAGACTGTAGATCTGTCTGATATGAGAGGTACAGTGTAACACTTCATTTTTTAACTACAGTAAAAGTCTTGAATTCCGAATTTGGGGGTGTGGATTCGTTTATATACAGTGGAGATATGAAAGTTTTTACTACTTCGACAATTATCAATGACAATTATCCTAAATTTATTGCAGACATGAGAATGAGAATATTATCTCCGTCCGTCCAGATTTGTCCTCAATATGATGACTTTAGCTTTACTAACTGGGACCTGAATGCGGAGGTTTGTCAATACTGTAGCATGGGCGGATTTACTGGGGGTTAGAGGGGGAGGGGGGGGGGCTTAAACCCCCCTAACCTGGGAAAACGTCTACCTGCTGTAAGACGACGTTGACAATTTGTCAAGGGTGGGTAGTAGCGAAGTAGTTGTAGTTCGCTACTGTAGCGAACTACAATTTTCAAGTAGCCAGCAGTTTTT